ATACTATTTCTCGATATTCCGTCCAGTATAAGACAACATTCATAGTAAGGTTTCCTATGTATTCGGTCCGTCCAACATCTTGCAGGATATCCAGTAAGGCTATCATTCATTCACATAACCAATCAATTTTCTGTTTACATTTAATTTTCAGTTCCACGATTTAACCGTAAATCAACGCAAAACAAACAATACATGCATTAAGGAAACACAACTGAATCATTTTACCAATTCTAATATATTATCATGCATTTAAAGCTGTAAAATCAAACAATCAGTTAAACAGGACAACAGTAATAAATAGTCGGTTCTGTATCCATTAGTAACCTGTAATTAACTCTCAAAACTTTCTAAATTACGCCAAATACTGTATTATTGATAACTAAATTTCAATTCCATAATAGGGAATAAGGTGAAAGATTTTTACCCGAATCGGTGTCCGAAACACCGAACTTTCTACTGCGCCTACTAGCGGTTCCCGAGTTTTCTGAATTTTCCTGCAGAGGTTAAAACACGCTTTACATACCTAAAAATATCCCAAAAAATCCAGAATTGGTCAGTTCTGACCGGTTTTATACCCATCTCTGTGAGATAACACGTTAGGAGGATTCGGTTGGCCAAAAAAAGTCAAAAAATAAAAACTTACCGGTGGCAGGATTTTCTGGTGCGGCGGCTCTGCCGGCTCACTTTCGCAGCTAGGCATTTTTCTTTGTTTAATCTGTAGAAAACAGAACGGTGAATACAATAGTGGAAAAATTGCACGAAATGGGAAATGAGAAACGGGAAGGGGTTCATCGGAGGCGATTTTGGGTTTTGTCTGCAGCGGCCGCAGCGGCCGCAGCGGACTTTATCCGCAGTTTCTGGCTCATCCGCCGTTCTTTTTGCTCCGATTTGACCATGGGCGTGTTTGAAATCAAATTCCAAGCGGATAGGAGAATTTTTACATTTTTTGGCGGTTGGAGATGGCTCTGGCGCGGCGGTCGGCTCTCTTCTCTGACGACTGGTTCTTCTTCGGCGAGAGGTTGGCGGCTAGAGTTTGGGTTCGGTGTGATATGAGATATTTATACCATTCTCCCTTAAATTTGTGCTGTTTATCGCGTTTGATCTCGAACGTCCAATCGCGTTTAAAGAAGAAATGAATTTAAACCGTTCATCGCGATTTGATCTCGATTGTACGATTGCGTTTAAAGAGGGAACGAATCTGAACTGTTTATCGCATTTAATCGTTACAGTCCGATTGCGCCTGAGGAGGGAACGGATCCAGACCGTCCACGTGCGCGGGAATACATCCAGGCTGTCCGATCGCGGGTAAGCGGATTACCAGCGTGACCTCTAGCGGGGCACCGAGTCAGCGTGCCTTGCCACGCAGCATGTTTCGGTTCGTCGAGGCTGTTGACTAGGCGGTCCTACGTGGTGTAATTTTTCTTAATTGCGTTTTAACTCCCAGTTTTCGATTTTTTTTTTCAAAAATACATTTCGAACCCAAAGTTTCATCCATTTTTCACAAAATTATTTTCAATTTCATTCTCAACCAATTTTTTTCCTAATTTTACATTAAACAAAATTTATAAATTTAAAAATTATATTTTTATACATTTTTTTTAAACTTTAAAATTAAACTTGAGGCAAATTCCGGATTCGAGTATTATAATGTTAGCCATTAGTGATTATCTATCAAATATTTAACAAGAACAGGTAGTGTTCACTAGCTACCAACCAATATTGTTTTCCCACTCTTTACGACACTCTATTTTATTATATCCAGTAGGGGTTTTGTTAATTACTAGTGGGTTAAAACTAGTGCTTTTCCACCAATCTTTAATGGGAAAAAACTTTGGATACTGCCTTAGAAAAACTAGTGGTCATTTTTTCTCATTCTCTTCAAGTTGCAAATTTTAGCTCATAAATGGTGACTAATGTTAAATTGACTACTAAGCAAGACACGCATAAGGTATGTACTGGTTTTGACACTATGCGCGATATTTAACGTAATTTTGGAAGAATACAGAAACTTTTATACTGCACAACCCCATCAATTCAGAACCTACAAGTTGCACAAGTTGCTAGAGCTGATAGGAGACCTGTTGAGGATAGTCATGAGGATTTTACCAGGAAGGTTAAGTCAAAACTCTTGTTTTTGATGGAAGATGGAATTCTGATTTCTTCCTCAGTTTGCTTAGTTTAATTGAAATATATTTCAACTAGTAGGAAATCTCGGATGCATGAAAAGTTGGATTTGTTAGCATGAAGCTTGTGAGCTTCACAAAAATGTTGTGGTACAATATTAATTAGAATCTAATAAAAAGAAGACACTCGTCGGTTGAAACACGGGACAATATGAACTATTCTTTATAAAAAATATTCACCTTCGAACTGCTTTGACGAGACTCTTGGTGGGGTTTGCACCTTTATTTGAGGTGATATATATGTTGGTAACTGAGTGCACATTTAAGTTTGAAGAGTTAGAACTTTGAAGTTAGTTGGTAGAAGGTGATAATCATGTGGCATCTCAATTGAAACCATGCTTAAGGACTGAAATTAAAAGAAAATTAATCCGGGCATCTTCGAAGACTATAGCCCAAAGTTACAATTTACCTTTGATGGTGAATAATATTTCTTGGAATCAACTTCCAAGAAGACCTTTGGATGGATCAATATCAATTGTTAACAATCCTTCCAATGCAACAAAATTGCTTGTTTCAAGTGTGAACAGATTGGAAATATGCCTACCAATGCCCAAAGAAGAACAATTTGGTTAGGATGAAACGAAAGGAAATATGAAAGAAAAGGAGGAAGGTTATGTACCCTATGATAATTTAGCTGAAGATAAAGTAGATACCTCAAATTTGGCTACAACAACATGCATCTTAGCTGACCCTAAAGTAGAGAAATAAGAACCTGCATGTTTTGTGGAAGTTCTATGCAAGGAGAAACTTGATACACCAATTTGTCAATATGTTGATTCATCCTATGACCAGGATTTTACACTAAAAAAATTGTGTTCCATCTTTGGGTTTTGAAGAGCATGCTCGATCACAAATTTGGCTAATTTCATGGAGAAGCTCGAAGATCAGGGTTTTACATCATTCGCCACTTTAAAACTCGTCGAATTTTTTTTTATAACTTGGGAGATGATGCAAAATGAGTTAGGTTTAGACTGCCTAAATAGTCTAGAGTTTATATTTATTTAAGATATTACACGATTATATTTTTTTTGGAGTATATTGTCATAATGTTACTAATTTTAGGATTCTATTTTTTTAGCATTTAGCTTCCTATTATTATTAGTGCTTCTTAATTATTTTATTTTGAGAAAAGTTACTCGTAAGCGTCATAAATATTTTTATAATCTCACTTTTTAAGCACAATTCAATTATTCAATAAAGTACTTATTTGAGAATTTCTCTGTTTTAGTTATGTGATACAATTAAACACTTAATGATGCATGTTTAAGAAATTATAGAACCCAAAATCCTTATGTAGATAAACTAAGCACAATTGGTCTTACATCCTTTCCATTGACAATTGTATGAGAAAGTACATTTGTACTTGAAATACTTCAAATCTTTCTTGCCATGGGTCTTCTTGTAGATGACATAGGGATGACGAGGGAGGACTTTAGAGAAACTTGGAGGATAATGGATGAGGATTGGATAGTAAGCATGCTAACAAACAAGTAATCCTTAAAGTTTCTAAGGAAAATCATCTAATAACCAAATTGGCACTCTGGATTGTTTCATAGTAGAAAAGAATAATCTCATAGGTGTGATAGATTGAAGAACTTCCAAACATTGTGGTAGTACTTTCTATAGGAAGTAGAGTGTTTATGCGTGTATTGTCATGGATGCTTGATGAAGGGTAACTGCTCATCATGGATGATAATTAAATTCCTCTCTCTGTGGAAGTTCTAATGGTTGGTCATGTTTAATACTTTCTTCACCAACTATTTTTACTGGGAAGTTATTCTTTTCCTATGCCTCGTTGATGTAGGAAAAGTAAGGTTGATTTATCCGTTTGGGGATTTGAAAATAAAAACCTAGATATAATACCTCATATTTCTTAGATATAACATTGTAAGAGATCTTGAACATCATACTTACGGGTTTGATTTTATCATACAATAAAAAAATTGAGATATTTTATTGAATAACTGAATGCTCTTAAAAACTAAAATTATAAAGATATGAGTCAAGCTATACTAAATAAGATTAAATTAAGAAATACTAAATACAATAATATTAGAACTATTACTCCTAGTAAGATCGGAAATTAATACTATAATATTAGAAATACTTAATATAAAATACTAAAATAAATAGGAAAATTAAATATTAATAAAAATAAAATCCTAATTTTATTAAAACTATAATAATAAACTCATAAATAGTAAAATAGTTTACATTTAGTTGAATTATAATTTCTAATCTATTTACAATTTAAAGTTTATCCATTCTGCAACATTTATGTAATCTTTTATTGTGTTTCGTATAGTTTTTACAATGCGGGCTAGACAGGAGAACTCAGGGTCCCACAATAACAAATCCATTGTGAAAAATGCACCTAGACCATTGATGCTTATGAAATCCTAACAGTATGGTTAGCATTAATAAAACTCGAAATCCTTATCTAGTTAACATCTTTTCTTTGTTAAGCTCAAAGTAGAAACCTAAGCTAAATCAACATAGCGACTAGGACAAAAGCCATTGTTCTTCCTCTTGCGAAGCCCAACCCCTCGTCTTTGTTCTCCATATTTCCTGATATTTGGGGCGTAGCACATGTCAACTTGAAATCTGGTTGACAAAGATTTAATTTTATCTTTTCTTTTTTTGCCTTGGTCAAAGGTTGGTGTTATTTGTTCTACATGAATGAGAATTTGGTCGAACTGCCAAAGATATTATTATGAAAAACTGGTCGGGGAACAATAAACTAAAGTATATCATTCATGTATAAAGTGTACTCTTTCCTGAAAATGTGTTAACCTTTTATGTCATTTGTTCTTTTAGGCTAAACTTCGTGTTGGGGATGTTGTGAAATGCTGCATCAAGAAGATCAGTTATTTTGGTATATTTGTAGAGGTAAATTTTATGTTTGGGAGTCATGCAGTCTGTACTTTTCTTTTTCACAGTTCTTGCTCCAGGTAATCAGATTTGAATTGTAAAGTTATTTAAAGCTATTTGTGTAACATACTTGTGTGGTGCTGATAAATTGGGCTTGCTTGCTAAATTTACGAATCAAAGATTCAGTAATGTGAACTTCAGCAACAGGTTTGTTATTTCAGTTACTGAATTTTTTAATCTAAATTTTCTTCTGTTTATCTAAAATAGGTTGAAGGTGTTTCTGCACTAATTCACCAAACAGAAGTATCATGGGATGCTACCTTGGATCCTGCAATGTATTTCAAAATTGGTCAGGTATACTTGTTTTCTTAAAATTAAATAGCACAAAATTTGATGTTTTTGTTTAGAATATTTCAAATTGCTCAGATACTTATTAGTCTTATAGTTTTTTGTTCATTGAGTCCTCTCATTTTTAACTTGTATATGAATTCAATAAAGTACTTATTTAATATCTGCTTCTTAGTGAACCCATTGATTATCATACATTTTATGTTATCTGGTATCAGATTGTGGAGGCAAAAGTACACCAGTTGGATTTTGTGCTGGAACGCATCTTTTTATCGTTGAAAGAGATTACAGTAATCCATATGCACTTATTTTCTGCATTGAGTTTCTGTAGATTAAGAATAGAATTTCAAATAGATCTTCTAATTTCTGTTTTGGTTCTGATAGCCAGATCCATTAACTGAGGCATTAGAGTCTGTGGTTGGTGATCGTAATCCATTGGATGGAGGACTAGAAGTAACAGAAGCAGATACCAAGGTATGTTTTCACCCTTTAAACATATATTCTGGCGCATATCATGTGGTATTGACAAAAAATATATTATAATCCGGCTAACTAATTTAGTCGTGGGTCTATGGACATAGAAATCGTTAGGATCTCTGTGATGTTTTTGGGTTTTCCTTCCTTTACCTATCATTAATCTAATTTAAAAATTTGCTAGAAAGAATCCTATGATATCTCGTGTAAGAAAATATCTAATATTTGAATATACTTCTTTATTCATAATTCTATGAAAGAGACAGCATGAGCTTTATTAGGGAGCAGTTATACCAGAAATTAATTTCCAGATTTGCCTAACTGCCCATATGTCTTATCCTATACTTCTGTTCTATCAAACACATGTAGTACATGTATTACACAGTAACATGCCTGCAAAATACACAAATAACTTAATATAATTGCATAATTTCTTTCTCATCCTTTTGTACACTTATCCAAAGGGATTACTTTTTCACTTCTGGAGTTCCCAACATCCCTTTCCCCCTAAGATGGCGCTTGTTCTGAAGTGCAAAATCTGTACAGCGAAGTGCCAATTTGATCTGCAAGTTCCCAAGAAATCAGTTTGAAAGCCACAAGTGTAAAATTAATTCCGTTTGATAAAGTGTATCAAAGGAAGAGAAAGAAATCATGTAATTCATAAATAATGAGTAGGGGTTGAAATATTGTATTATGTGTATATTTGTTTTCATGTGTGTGCTGTGTAATATGTGTGTTTAATAGAAAGGAAGAAGGAATAAGTCTAAGATAAGACATATGGCTGTTAGACAAATCTGGAATTTAATTCTTGCATAGCTGCTTTTCTCTTTGTAATAAAAACTCATGTTGTCTCCTTGACAATATTTTGAATGATAAAGTATGTTCAAGTTTTGGATACTTTCTTACTCAAGAGATGGTAGAGTATTATTATTGGAAGTGCTAGCCCATTGGAGAAGAATCATAGAGAAAGCCACAGCTAAAGAAGACATTGAAACACCTGTTAAGAATGGGTAATTGTATGTTATTGAATAATCGTGGTCCTATGTATATAATTTTTCTAGAATAGAAAAGAAAATAGACAATTAATTACACAGGGTGTATTTTAACCTAAAGCCCTTCAATTTAATTACATAATACACTTTTTAACACTCCCTTTCAAACTAGAGAATTGATATTATCTATCCCTAATTTACCATTGACAATCTAAAATGTTATATTACTCAAGTTTTTGATCAACACATTTGTCAATTATGAACTAGTAGGTATGTATGAAGTACATATTAAACTTGTCTAGCTTCTTTTTGATAAAGTATCTATCGACTTCGATATGTTCGGTCTTGTCATGTTGTACCGGGTTATGAGCGATACTTTTGGCCAATTTGTTATTACGTGCTATCCTATTTGATCATTAGATTTTTTCAAATTCTCTTTAGGTATAGTAGTTTGCATACTCCTTGAGCTATTGCTCAGAAGTCAGATTTTGCACCGGACCTTTCAATCACATTATGCTTTTTACTTCTCCAAGTGACCAAATTACTCCTAAGAAATGTACAGTAACTCATGGTGGATCTTCTATCCACCATTGGTCCTATATAGTATGCATCTATATAAGCTTATAAGGACAACCTATCATTCTTTTTACACACGATTCCTTTCCAGAATGTCCCTTTTAGATAACGTAGCACTCTGTGGACAGCATGTAAATGCACCTCTTTAGGTTTGTGCATTAACTAATCTGTAACATTTATAATATAGGCTATGTTTGGTCTTATATGTGATAGGTATATTAATCTTCCTATGATGGATTTTTTGTCTATTACTGGCCCTATATAGTCTGCATCTGTATAAGCTTATAAGGATAAGCTATCTGATGTGAGTAAGAAAAGGGAAAAGCCCCATGAGATTTTCTTTCTTAATCCCATGGAAAATCTTTCTTTTTAAGACGGAGAATTGGCCAAAGAAGAAAATTGATCCTAAATCTCAAGTTATCTTGAGAAACATAAAAATTCCTTAAATGCTAAATTTTACAGAAAAGAAAAACACTTGAGAAAGAGAAAAATATTTTGCCAGAATTTCTTCTCCTAAATCTTCGTAATTAATTAAGATCTTCTTTTTTTAAAAAGGGATATCATATTTATCCTATTTTAGTTATAATTTTTTTAATTTTGTTAATTTTCCTATTCTATTCTATATTTAATTTCCTATGTAATTTTTTCATTAAATTAAAATATTATTTTCCTTATTATTCACATGACCGACACTATAAATAAGTTATCAATTCCAACTTGTTATAATTGAAGTTTCAATTAATAAAATTATTAAGTTTTAGTTTTCAACTAGTGAGTTTTCAACTATCAAAATAACTTGTGACATTTTTATCAAATTCTGTTTTGAATTGATTTTAATTTATCAAGATTTTCCTTACGGTATTTTAATCAATTCAATTATCTCTATTATCTTGGTTTTCATTCCCTTATTGAGTGCGGATCAAGTAGGGAGTATTTATTTAGAGATAAATTTTTGCATACTAATGTTATATGTGGGGTTTTGAATTGCATATTTTGATCTTGGGTTCCGCATCATTATATATGGGGTTTTTGATCATGTTAGTTGATCTTAGGTTCTGCACACTGTCATTTTTTCTAAACATGATTTCTTTCCCTGATAACTCTTTTAGGTATTGTAGCACTTTGTGAGCTAAATATAAGTGCACCTCCTTAGGTCTGTGCATTAATTGATATATAACACTTACGACATAGACAATGTCTAGTTTTATGTGTGATATATATATTGATCTTCCACTTAATTTCTGATACATCTCTTTATCTATAGACTTATCCTCTTTTGCAAGTACCAATTTATGATTGGGATCGGCATAAGTACTAGCTAGTTTACATACTAACCTATTGTTATGTCATGGGGTGGCATATTTACTGAGAGCTTATAGGCTTACAAGTA